AATTTGTTGCTTACTTAACACTATGCACTGTTCCATACTAAAAATTTTCAGTCAAAAACATAATGTATCCAAGTATAATATCTAAATATCTCACTATTATTAATAATTTTTTGATTACTTTAAAAGCAAGTTAGATTTTAAGCAGTTCTTAGTTATATATATTATTAAATTAAGAAAACTGACTCTTTAAAATGCAGTATGACCTCTGGTCCCTTTAATTTTATTTCATTTCAGACTTCGATTACCTTAAAAATAGTTATTCTTATTACAGATTTAGTTGTAACATAAATGACAGAAAGAACAATATATCTTTCATTCTTCCTAGTGTCACTTTTGAAATTACTTAATCACTATATTAATTCCTAGATGCATAATTTTATTGCACTTCATGATTTTAAACCATAAATTAGCTGACACATTTCTTATGCAACTGAATAAGCATTCAACACTATATAAAACACACGTAACAGTTTTATAAAAGAAGGAGATACTGTAAAACTGAGAAATATTTTTATTAACAATCATTTTCTTTATGACAAATCCAGTTAAATAGCTAAAACACATTTCTAAGCATTTAATTTATAAAAAATCGATCATACTTTTGTTTGCTTTGTACAGTATTTAACTGCCTGAAATAATGAACATTTGATTGTCTCATATAAATATGTATACAATTTACTTTGCTTATTTCACAAGAGCTAATCAGAAGTATGGAAATACAAGACAAGAGATATATACACAGATAAATGTATCACAGTAAAAACAAGTTTTTTATGCAAAAAACTAAACAAAGCACATACTGGCATGATGTAAAGTATGAATACTTCATAACTTGTAAAGCACTGTTTTATCATGAGTTAAAAAAAATAAATTAAGATATTAACTTTAGTTATAATAATAAAAAAATCCTCATGACTTAAGCCTTTTTTCTTTTTCTAAAAGCACATGATTATGGTTTCTTAAACTTATAAAGACAAATAACTAAGATATCACATCTAAAATAATCATGCACATATTCCATATTATGATACTACTATTCAAAACTATGGAACAAAAACATTGCTTTCACTGTGATATGATTCATATGATTTTACTCAGCAATTAATTCATGCATAATATCATAAGCAGACACAACAACAAGAAAATAGCATTTTATATGGAATATTCGTTTTTATACTAAAAGACTACACATTACAGCTTCAGTACAGGTTATAGTGCATAGAGATTTCACACATTACTTGAAGCATATATGAATACATATTTTAAAGACTAAAATTCTTATGAATAATTTTAAAATAGGCAATTAATATACTGGAGCAGGAAGGGCATTTAATAGAAGGATACGACAAAGGAGTGAAGTCACAAATAGATGTTATGGTAAGAGGGAAAAAAGTAGAAACACTCACAGGATGGAACTTTTGATTAGTGCTGAGCTAAACATTCACTGATATGTACATTTAAAATTCTTCTCTAAAATAAATCACTGATAATTACATTTAATGCCAAAAATGTTAGATTAAATCTTATCTAATGTTCTTTAAAAATATAGCAAACTGACAAAGTCCTGCACTGCTTTTCGAACAAAATAAGAGTAGTAAGCAATCTCGAAATTAATTGTTTATTGCTACTATGAGAAAATTTTAATAATCTGTCTGGATGAGACAATAGCGACAAAATTCATCTGGCATACAAGCAGATTATTAATAAAACTCTTATAGAACTTGCAATATTTTGTATCATATAACACTCAAAAGTAACTTTAAATTAAACTGATACCCAATATTGATACAAATCATTGTTTTCTCCATTTAGAAGAAAACAGTCATTTAATACAAAAGGAGTAAAAACTTGGTATGATATTCATTTGCAATAAAAAATGCTTCTCAACATGATCTGTTGTCATAGATTTTATAAAACGTTTGCATGGAATATAAATTTAAATGCAATGACATTAATATTTTAATATGTGGTAATTAATTTAATCATAAATCTAGAATCAAAAACCAGATTAAATGGTTTCAATGTCATACTCTGTATACCAGACTGTATATATTTTTGATTCTGGACTTGAATTTTTTATTCATTATACATATTTTCAGTTAGACTGTTACCAATAACATGATAATAATAAATTTCAGAAGCAAAAAATTTTAAAGGAAAAGTGAAAGAACCACATATTTATAAAAATATAATTAAAAAAAAACTTTAGGTTACTTGACAGAACTAACAATTACACATATGTAATGTAACATGGGTGTGTTACGATTTTCCACACCTCAGAAATAAACACTGAAAATTTAGAAGTCAATAAAAAAAAGACTTATTACTAAGATTAAATCTTCTTCATAGAAATGCACACACACACACACATATTCCATTTTATTATAAGCAATCTGAATGAAAAAAATACTGCTGAAAATCTCCAGATACGAAAATATGTTGTATAAAGTATTAAAATTAAAACAATTTTTACTAAGATTACTAAGGTGAAAAGAAGATCACTAAAAACAATTTTAAGAATGATTATAATTAAAAGTTATTATGTAAATAAAATATTTTGTTAGACTAACAAGTAAGATTCATGTATGTAATTAGATTATTTAATCTGTATTACGATGTCATAACAATTTCATTCTCATGGGTAAGGATATTTAGTTGCGAGATTGTAGATCACATTTTAATGATGAAATGGCAGTGATTCCTAAATATTTCAAACTGATGATTTATAAGATTATATAAAAATATTGCAATCATATATAATGTGTGATCCAATTAAAATTAAATCATTTTTTGTATGTTTGAACTCTTTAAAAAGTTACAGTTTGTTCATATATATATCTGATTCAATTAAAAGAACTTGTAAAATATGCAGACACTCTTTCAATAAGAAGATAAGCAGGAGATTTATACTAATTTTTCACATGCGCAAAAAGTCATTTGCTTTCTTTTTTTCAAGTTGTGTCAATGCAAATATTCCTAATAAAATAATGATAAGTTAAGCAGAAGTACCAGAGCTTAATTCAACCACATTAAAGTGGTTGAATTATGTTCTGGTACTTTCTAACTGCTTGTGCTTGTTCCACACATATACCTCACTATATAGCTACCCTTTATACAACATTTCACTAAAACGGCCTTTACAAATTATGGTAATTTTTTTTATATGGCCCATAATGTCTCGTTACACAGCCAATAGCAGTACTTCATTTAGTTTCAGCTTCTCCCTTCCAGTGGCACTGCTTTATTTTGCTTTTGTCAACACTTTATTCACTGTGCTATCACTCAAGCAGTTTCCAGTAACTCAGTAGTTTGATATGTTAATTCCTGTTTTATTTGTTTGCATTAATTGCTGAATTATAAGCATATTCGGTAAGTATGAATTAGAAAGACTGTATTTTCATTACATATGCAATTAATTCATTAATTCTTTCAAATATAATCATTACTTTTTTTAGGAAAAAATGCTACCAAAATGTCTGAAGTTGGATATTGATACTGATAAAAAGAGAAGCCAAAAAGTCTGTCACACTAAAGATCAAACTAGAAGTTTTATATCACATGGAAGATGGTGGAAAAAATAGTTAATATTTTTTATGCAATAGGACTGGCACAGACCACAGCTCAAAGCATTTGGGATAGAAAAGAAGAAATCAAAATGCAGTTGTTATCTGTTGCACATTCCAGTTTTTCACAATTAACCCATTCCCTGCCATGATCCCCATATGGGGATCGCCTACATTTGTATACATTGTGACGTCATGCTGTACCTGGGTGGTCCCTTACGGGTGGTCATGCTTTCCTGAAGATTGAAACTAAGGGTAGAAATCTTAAACAAACACGTGGACTCAGTTAGTTGAGCTCACGAGTTATTTTTTCTTGCTCTCTCGTTTACTTTCACGAGAAAAATAATACAGTTATTTTCAAAGCACAAAAAAGATACTTAGGAACAATTATTTTTGTTGTACTGAATTTTCCTTGATCATTGGTAAGTAATTAATGTATTTATATATTATTTATCCTCATACTGTAATTGGATGGGTACAATGAACCCAGATATATCGATCCCCATTTGGGGATCATGGCTGATACTGACTAAAATTGTAAAAAAAAAACGGTGTTTTCTTTTTTTTTTTTCCAGGAAATGTCGCGTAAAAGATATCCTTTCTTTAAAAGAAATTGAAGAAATTGTAAATGCTGATGATTTTTTTTGCATCTGACGATGACGACGACGATAATAGCCCCATAGATATTGTTGAAATTCCACCAGAGTGGGTTGATGAGATTTCAGATAATGAGGACACGGATGACAACGTAATTGATGATGAAGAACCACTTTGATGTTCCCGGGTGTGTTGAAATTCACCGTGTGGCAGGATTTGAGGACAATGTTTTAGTGAATGTAACTGAATCTTCAGCAAATGAAGTAATAAAAGATACCGGCTTCACCTGCTAAAAAGAAAAAGAAGCAACCTAAGTACTTCCAATTGGAAAAAGCTACCCTAAGTACTTGAAAAACTATTACTGTGAAAATTCTGACGTTATAGAGACAAGGCAAAATGATGTCATTAGAAACCTCAGAGGAAAATCCCCGGTAGAGTGTTTTGAAATACTTTTTGATAATGAAACTGTCACCTATATCGTCCAGCAGTCTGTAATATACGCCAGACAGAAAAACAATCACGTCAATTTCAGCTTTCTAATAACTGCCTAAAAATTTATTGGAATACTTCTTTTCACTGGCTATCATTCACTTCCGCAAGAACAATTATATTGGTGTGAAGATGAAGACATGAACATTCTGTGTGTTAGAGCATGCATGGGTCGGAATAGGTATCTGGAAGTTAAATGGTACCTACATATCAGTGACAACTCTGATTTAAAAAGGAATTCCACTAGGTGAACGTGATAACCTCTTCAAGATTCTCCCATTGATTGACAAGCTGAATGACAAATTTCAACAATTGGGGGTGTTTTCTGAAAGTTTGAGCATTGACGAACAAATGGTTCGTTATTATGGATATCATTACCTCAAACAATTTATACGTAGTAAGCCAGAGCGGTTTGGGTTCAAACAATGGACTATCTGTTGTTCACAGACTGGATATTGTTATGAGACTCAAGTGTATGAAGGCAAATCAAAGAAATTAGGAGATGATGAAAGCATCAGTGGGCTTGGGACATTTGTTGCCCTTCATATGGTATCTATTCTTCAGACACCAAATGCTCACAAAGTTTACTTCGATAATTTTTTCACAGGATTTTCTCTGATGAAACATTTGCAGGACATTGATGTTAGAGCAACAGGAACTGTTCGATTCAAAAGAATGACAAATTCCCTATTGCAACAGACAGAGAGATAAGGAAAAAAGAACGCGGGGCATATGACTACAGATTTGATTCCCGTAATGAAATTTTAGCTGTCACGTGGAATGACAAGAGTTATGAAAGGCTTCTGTCTAATCATGAAACTAGCAAACCAATATCAGAGGTGAAGCCATGGAGTAGAACAGGAGAAGAAAGATATTCAAGTACCACAACCCAAACTGATATCAGAATATAACAAATACATGGGTGGAGTAGACAAGATGGATTGGAATGTTCAAAAGTACATAATCAGAATAAGGGGGAAAAAATGGTGTTTTCCTTTGCTTACTAATGCCATCAATGTAACACTGGTTAACGCCCACGCACTGTATTGTATTTCAAGTGATAAAATTCCATTGCTAGATTTTAGGAGGATGGTTGCTATGATATCTTGCTTTATCTTCAGAACTCTCAGATGCAAAAAAGGGTGGAAGGAATTCTTTCACTAAAGGATCAATTAATCGTGTTCTTACTGTTATCAGAACATCTGGTAAATCATTATATTGAACGCACCGAAAATGGTAAACAAAGAAAATGTGCAGTGTGCAAAACAAATGCAAGAAAACAATGTGGAAAATGTAATGTTGGATTACACGTAGACTTGGCATTAAAAGTAGATAGTATCAGCCATGATCCCCATTTGAAGATCGGACTTAAATTTAAAATTTCTGAAAAAAAATTTGACGCATTTATGAGAAAAACATGTTTTTCTTATTATTTAGATGAAAACTAACAGAAATAAAATAAAAATTGATGAAATAAAAATTTGGCAGTTAATGGGTTAACTTACTAGAGAAGCACCAAATTTAAAAAAATGGAAAAATTATTAGATATGTAAATTGAAAATAATAATCAATGAAGGATACCAATGAGCCAAATGACTATCCAAGAAAAGGCTAAAAGTACTTGTATTTTGAAAAATTCAAGAGAGAGGATAGTGATGAATTTATGACAGATGTAACATTTCATAAAAGCTGAGGTTGGTTTGAAAAATTCAAAAACTGTCCCAATTTGCACAACTGAAAAATGAAAAGTGAAAGAGCTAGTGCAGATGATCATACAGTTAAAGAATATCCTAACATTTTGAAAATAATTATTGAAAGAGGTTTATACCAACCCGAACAAGTTTTCAGTATAGATGATGAGACTAGACTCTTTTGGAAGCAAATGCATGAAAGAACTTAATTTAAAAATGTCAAAAGTATGCATCTGGAAGAAAGGTGACAAAAGAATGATTAACTATGCTCTTTGGTACTAATGCTGCAGGTGGTTATAAGCTAAAATTACTTTTAGTAGACCTTTCTGAAAATCCACCAATTATTTTAAAGGGCTAAACAAGAAAAAATTTCTCATCATTGGGAGATTCAACAAGAAAGGTTAAATTACCAAAATTCTCTCTGAAAACTGAGCCAGAGCCTGCTGTGTGCCAACAGCTAATTGCAAAGATCTTGTCGAATGCACTTCTTTATTTTGAACACCGTATGAATATCCTTCTTCAAAATGACCACTACAAAAAAAGCAATGCTGAAGTGTCTCAAGGAGTAATCCCAGCCATTGCCTGTTACAAAACTCTGCTGAAAGAGATAGAAAGGAAGGTGAAGCGAACAACTTTGCACCTCTATTTTAAACTGGGTCTATCCGCAAAAGTAGAAAGTAAATATTGTAGAATTTAATAGCTTAGTGATTCTTCATTTTAATATTCATCAAACAGTTACTATACAGTACTTTTTAAATATATGTATAAAAATGTACATTCTTTCTTTCTTTTTTTAAATTTATATGTTTATTTTTGGATATTTGTGCTTTCACTAAGTAAACATTTTTATAGGAAATACTTTATAAAAAAAATTGGTACAGATCCAATTAAATATGTATGGGTTCGTGTCAAAATTATTGATTCATTATGCTGCTTTTCACTTTAAAGCAAACGTTTACGGAACATATCTAGGCCATAAAGTGATATATGGGTATATATACATAGCATATTCGGAAACTAAGTACCGTTTCATTCTAGCGCCGTCGCAGCGCTGTGGTAGGCACCCCGCGCATGCGCACTAGTCTTTCTTGTTCACTGACTTTCAATTGTAGCCATTTTGGTTGCTCTATGTTGTGTTTTCAGTTTGCTGTGCACATTCAAAATGTTTAAGACAATGAGTTCTCCTGCTGACTGTGAGATTCGTGCCGTGATTAAATTTTTGAATGCGAGGGATGTTAAACCGGCCGAAATTTATCGTCAAGTGACAGAAGTTTACGGTGAATACGCGATAAGTGATGGAATGGTGAGAAAGTGGGTAAGAATGTTTAATGCAGGTCGAACAAATGTCCACGCCGAGGCTCGGAGTGGTCGGCCGTTCTGTTGTCACCGATGATTTGGTAAGGAAAGTTGATGAAGCAATTCATGAGAACAGACGCTTCACAATGACAACTCTTTCAGAGGCATTTCCACAAATTTCACTTACTGTTTTGTTCGAAATTGTGTCTGACCGCTTGAATTATCGCAAACTGTGTTCCCGATGGGTTCCAAAAATGCTCACCGATGTTCACAAAACAAGCGACTTGGTAGTGCCCTGACATTTCTTACACGTTACAGTGATGAGGAAGAAAACTTTTTGAACCAAATTGTGACAGGTGATGAAACTTGGGTGTGTCATTTCACACCAGAATCGAAACAACAATCGACGGAGTGGAGACACACTCATTCTCCGAAAAAACAAAAGTTCAAAGTGACAATATCATCACAAAAAATCATGTGCGCTGTCTTCTGGGATAGGAAAGGCATTTTGCTTACTGAATTTCTTTCCAGAGGTGAAACCATTAATGCGGCACGACATTGTGAGACTTTAACAAAACAAAGGCATGCCATTCAAAACAAACGAAGAGGAATGCTCAGTAAAGGAATTGTGTTGCTCCATGACAATGCTCGCCCCCATACTGCTGGTGTCACTCAATCGTTAATTCGACAGTTTCATTGGAAGCAGTTCGATCACCTGCCGTACAGCCCGGACTTGGCGACGTCCGACTATCACTTGTTCCTGAACATGAAGCGCGAGCTTGGTGGCAAGTGCTTTGAATCTGACGATGACATGAAAAATGCTGTGGAGTCTTGGTTATCGAAACTGGCGGGAAGTTTCTTTGACGATGGTATACAAAAACTGGTCGTCCGCTATGACAAGTGTTTGATCATTGGCGGAAACTATGTTGAAAAATAGTTTAAAACATGTATTTTCATGTAAAAATAAAATTGGATTCGAAAAAATTGTTTTACTATTTTTTTTTTTTTTTTTTTTTTCAAAACGGTACTTAGTTTCCGAATACGCCTCTTATATGTTCCACCAAATGTCACTTAACATGAAAAAGTAGAATGGATCATGTTTTAATCCAGCTGGAGTACTTAGAATGGAAATCTACAAGAATTTAAATCTAAACCCCAACAATTTTTATATAATCTTAATCATTCAGAATTACGTATTGTCTTTATCTTCAGAAGCCACAAAACATTTTTCTTGCAACTAAACAAAACAGTATACCTTTTTAAAACGGTTTTCTCATTTTGATTAGCTAATATAATTCACTTGTCCTAAATAATTACAACAAGCCAGCTAAAATCATTCTTTTACTGAAATAATGTTAGACGAAATTAAATAGTTTCTTTAAACTGAATATCAGACATTAAAAACAGCATTCTTCAAATGAAATTAACACCGAAGAATATTGCTAATTAAGAATATTACAAAATCTCAGGTTACACTGAAATCCCCCCCCCTTTTCTACATTACTTTTGTGTTTAAAAGATTACCCATGAAGTATTGTGATAATTATTATGATACTGGACCAAAAAACTATGCAAATTTTTTGCCAGTGTAAAATAAGTTTTCCAATTAATTTTGAATAACATTCTCACATATACTTTTTCAAACTGCTAAGCTTTGACATTATGCTATGTTACGACAATTATCCTAAAAACATTTATATTGACGAATTTCACAATGATATGGCCCCCATGTTCAACTGAAATTAATTAAAAGAAATTCAAATTAATTTAAATTAATGAAAAGAAATTTTCTTCACTATTAATCATATAAAATTCTACCAAATATCAGTAATATATAATCTTTGTAGATTTCTCAACTTCATTTTTTTTAGAAAATTATTTTACAAGCTGTAGAGGAATTTTGTAATAATAAATTTATTATTTACATTTAGGAGATTTATAATAAAATTTAAATACTTCAGATACTTCTGAAGTGTAACAGACTATTTTAGAGTTTATTGTATTATAGATGATTGGTGTGTGTGTTTGTGTACATATATATTCTATTGCTAACTTACAGGCCTATTTAAATTTTCTTAGCCTGGTAAATAGCCCTTTACCAGTAAAGAGAGGTCCTTCTTTATGCTTTTTAGACCATTAGACAGAAATAAATTAATTTATTTCTTCTGTTTGATTAAAAAACTTTTTTACTAAGAAACTAGTCTCTGACGACAACTTTAACAGTAAAATTATCTCAACAATTTAAGGCTACCATCTCTCGAACAGAGTTTTTTTTAACATGTCACCAACAACTACTTTTCTCACCCTTAATATGACAACCCTATTACATTCCATTACTGAGTACAATTACACTTTTGCCATTTCGTTTAAAATTTTGCAAGCAAGTAAGTTAATTTTAATTTCCTTTCTGGCCTGACATTCTTTTATATTAAATTAAAATTCTCTACTTTTAATTTAATATATAAGAATGTATTAATCTTGATTTTACTTTTAATTTAGCTTTTGAATCTAACATAATGTATTAATTTGTACATATTTATATTAATATCTTCTACACACATATTAATTTGTATAGATTTCAATGGTTTTTATTGTTTTTGTAATAATATGAGAGTATTGGGGAATGATTTTTCTAAAGTGAGGATCTTGTTTAATTTAGTTCTTAATGAGAACCTTAAATTTAGAAGAATACATTACTCATTTTTATTTCAGATTTTATTTATG